TCCTCTGGTACAGGGTGGATGTGATGAAACCTGACACTTAGGTCTCTGTGACTTCCTAGGGGGTGGCTTGAATTTAACACACGGAAACAAAATCCACGGTGCCTATCCTTCCTCGGAACGAAAGCAAAGTTTAGCGTTTGAACTGAAACTTAGTCCAGGAAATCCTTCGCGTGGCGAGTGGGAGACGGCTAGTTGCCAAAGTTTCTACACAGCACGTGTATTTAATTTTATTTTATTAGTTTATTAGCTTTGGCCGCCTGCGGGAGACGGATTTTTGAGTTAGCGGTACGGCAGAACACAAACTTTTATTATCACTATCCGACGGTAAACCGCGATGGTTCGACGTATTATTTCACCAGCTCTTCTTGGGGCAAATATCTCTCCGAAACGCAGCGCTCCTTCGACAAATGACCGTACGGCACTAGTAGGAAATTTCCACTGGGGCGGATCCCGAAATTCTGCGCCTTGAGGACTAGGGCAGCACTTGGAATTATATATCCTCGAGAAAACACAACGTATCCTAACGCGATTCACTGCATCCAAAGTAAACTGGGGTGAAGCTCAAGGGTTCGCCAAAATATCACCTGATTGGAACCTGGGTCTTCTTCGCCAAAAATCAACGCGAAAAGAAAATAACACTTCGAAACGGGTGCAAAAAGCACGCAACTGCGAGCAACCGAAATAAGCCGGTGGCTCAAACCGCCAAGTGTACCAAAATAGTAGGGGAGCTAGCACGAAATCCACTGAACGAGAATGATCAAAATTTTAACCGATGGAAGTCCATTTTGCCCCTATCAGAGTATGCTAAAATCGATCGTCTGCAGCCTCAGGTCATACGATTTAAGGCGCTGCGGGTACTTCTTGTGGTACCAATTCTGAAAGGTTGTTTTTCGAGAAAATAAGTTATACACCAAATGAAAACGTTGATAATAGCTCTTAAAAAAATATTTAAAAAAATCGCGCACATTTGATAACTCCGTAAAAAAACAATCCTTAGTCTGTTTTTCACGAACTTTCTACGGTTATAACTAGGTTACTGTCGGATAAATGAAGCTGATTTTTTTTACAGACTAATGATGGGCACAGCCAATGACTATGAGAGTGTTTCTTTTTTAAATTTTTTCTCTAATTATAAGATAGGTATCTTATAATGTTAAGATGATAAGATAATCTTATAATTAGAGAAAAAATTTAAAAACGAAACACCGTTAAGTCATTAGTAGTACCTATCATCAGTCTGTATAAAAAATCAGCTTCATTCGTTTAACCGTAACCTAGTTATATCCGTAGAAAGTTCGTGAAAAACCGACTAAGAATTGTTTTTTTACGGAGTTATCAAATGTGCGCGATTTTTTTAAATATTTTTTAAGAGCTATTATCAACGTTTTCATTTGGTGTATAACTTATTTTCTCGAAAAACAACCTTTCAGAATTGGTACCGCAAGAAGTACCCGCAGCACCTTAAGTCGTATGACCTGAGGCGGCAGACGATCGATTTAGCATACTCTGATAGGGCAAAATGGAACTCCATCGGTTAAAATTTTGATCATTGTCGTTCAGTGGATTTCGTGCTAGCTCCCCTACTAAAACGATCGCTCAAGGTACGTGTTGACCGCTTGACGTACTAACTGCGAGTCTCTTCAAAAAACGATCACTCAAAGTACGTGTCGACCCCTCGACGTACTAACCGCGAGTCTCTCCAAAAACGATCCCCTTCTTCAGAATTGAAATGAAAAAACCACACCCAAATTACCATAAAACAAAAATGGCTCCCGCTAGAAATTCTCCCATTGGTTTAGATAAAGAAGACTTAACCCACTCTAACTTCGTCGTCAACCTCCAGGAACTGCTGAGTAAACTGATCTCACGGTTTTCTGCTGACGACGTGAAAACTCCTTATCTCTTGATGGCTCGGTGCTATATCCGCTCCTATTCTCGGTCTAGACGGCGCCAAAGTTGATAAACGAACGACAAAAAACTCGTATTACTCATGATGACGTCAATCAGCTTTGCACTCTTCCCACGACGAAATTAAATCTGAGCGAAATTAAATCTATCGGACCATAGTCTTGAGCGAACCGAAATGCCCAAATACAAAATTTCTAACCGGAACAAATAATGAAATATACAGGGTGACCTTCACTATCATGACAAGAAATTTCGAAATTTTTAATGAAATTTGGCGCGAAATCAAACCACTCGTTACACAAATAAACGTAAATGGCCGATCTGTACAGAGTATTTTGTATAGGTACAAATAATACAATATTATTGTATTTTGGAAGTAGTTTTATGACTTTAATCCGGTTGCTAATACGTATTTAGAGGAATTTTTCGAAAAAAACTTGTCCATCCGTCTATTATTCGCCAATCGATTTCTACAGTCTGTGTAATAGGAACTGTCGGTTGTGCCCAAGGATACTATATATAGTATCCTTGGGTTGTGCCATCCAATATTTTCTTTTACGTTTCGTTTGAATGTCTGGTGCGCATTCAGTCCGACGTCGGTTTACTCTCTCTATCTTTATGACAAGGACAAAGATGTCGATTATTCCGACGTTTAATTAGGAGTTGCAACATTAAAGTGTCAAACTTCGTTGATTTTTTTGGTTAGGTTTATGAGTGACATATGACAAACGCCAAACGTCATCCAACATGCGACTCTACGTCATGTCTTATTAGGGGCGTTCAATGCATGAATCGATACGTATCGATTTATATCTCTTTTGATAGTTTACTGTTCAACAAACTCGATAGGATTCTTAGACCATATAGTACATGGACTGCTAATTGTAACTAAAATATGGTCAAGGACATCGCCTGGGTATGTGAGATTCAGGGTAAACGAGTCTGTTCGAAATTGTCCGATGAGACACGATTTGAGGCTGTCAACCTATAAATTAACAAACTTCAATTAATTAATCGCCTAGATATGGCAAAAAAGCAAACCTATTCTTATTTGTGGACGTATAGAAGATAATCATGAGTATTTAAAGCTTCCCGTACTACGCGGTTACCATAAAAGCTACTCCTACGCGATCCAAGTGGTGTTCATTCGACTTTAGTTTACCCTGAAATTCACATACCCACGACTACAGTGCCCTCTATCCGTGACCACCCTTTAAGGTGGGTTCATAGCTCTCCGTTCATCCGTTGCGTTGATCCGTCAAACGGATAGTACATTTTGGTAAGGTTCATAGCAATCCGTCCACATTGTACATTTGCTAACGTATAACCATAACCTAAATTTTATTTTGTACTGTACCCTCCGTGATTTTCAGTATGTATAAATGGTACGAAAGTAAGAACACGTTGCTATCTGAATATTACCGTGAAGAACGAATAGGCGAACACTGTTAACGTACCAAACATAACCTCACTCTTGTTAAAAACGGACCAACGGAAACGTAAATGTTCAACTTCAACCAACTTTTCCGTCGTAAACGGACTATTACTATTACTATCGACACCTAACAAATGAATCGTATGAATTGTCCGAACTTTTTGGATATTTTGTCCAAAAAATTTGGATTTCTTGTCTAAAAAAAATTCGATATTTGGATATCTTGTCGCGCCACCGACAAGATATCCAAATCGGAGTTTCCAAATTGGTTGGATATTTTGTCGCTTTATTTGGATTTGGATAATTTGTCGATAAAAATTGGATATCTTGACGAAAACAATCCATATTTGGATAATTTGTCCCTAAAAAGTTGGAATTTGGATTTCTTGTCGGTCCCACTTAAATCAGGAGAAAAACCATTTCAAATGCGAATATCTCCGAAACGAATCAATAGAATTTAAAAAGTAAAGCAGATTAGTAATCACGATTAAATTGGCTTTCAAATAATGTGCCATTTGCCATAGGATTCCATTTAAAATTTTAGGGGTTAAGCTCCCTACGTAGAGGGGTGAAGACTTACTTGGGTTCGAGATTTGTATTCCAAAAGTTGTCCCCCTCGAATACAAAATTGACGTGTTCGAGGATTTTTCGAAATTCTAAATTTAATACCCTAAAAGTCCTCTGTATACTTCTCGTTGGGCCACTCTGTATAATTCACTTGAAATAGATTGATTTAGGAAAAATAGAGAGCGTTGATGTAGCTCAAGATCATTACAAGGTATAGAGTTAATGGAAAAAGATGCAAAAGTAACAGATAAAAGTTAACAATATTAAGGTGTTCGCTCTAAGCTAAGTAACACAACCTCGAACACAACGTAAAGATCTCTAATTTCATTGGCCAGGCATCAAGGCAGCGACGAAGAAACGCCGGTGCAAACATGACAATGCTCGACGCCGTGCGGCCCATATGATACGAATAACGAATCTCCGCCAGAAAACTTACACTTCAACGTTGCCATTTTCGATGGTGTATGGTTGGTTGCCTAAGTGGCAGTAAGCTTCCTATTGTCATTACTTTTGTCGGTAATCTCTTTGATCTAAGGGTAATCTTACAAAGCCTGAATGGGTTGCGTGTTACCACAGATGTATTACAGAAACGCTAACGCTTATCCAGTAGAGAGTACTCCCGCCTTAACTATATAGACCTACAAGAGGCCGGGACACTTCGCCGACACGATTTTCTTATGGTCCATATCGCCACAAGTGTACAAGGGACGGCACTAAGCCGAACCTGACCACAACCACGATTTATGTAAAAATTCTTGACAGTGTGACGGGCATGGCCGGCATTGTCCCTTATACACTCGTCGACTGTCGGCGATGTTGGGAATCAGCGATATGGACCATCAAATCATTTTACGCGACTATACATATTAGATAATTAATGAGCCTGACAGCATATGCTGGTGAGTGGTGAGCAATGAACCACATCATACCTTGTAAAGGTCCATGTGGCAGCTTTTTGATTTGAGGTTTTATAAGGCTTAAACATTCAAGAAGGTACACTTTCTACATAGACATATGAGAATAAGACTATACTTAGTGCATGATAGTAGCAATAATCGAATCGAATATGGGTTACAAACACCTATTGAGCTACTTCTAAATTGTTTATTTGTGGTGAAAAATGGCATGCATGTTTAATAAAACAATGAAACATAACAATTACAATATTTATTATTATTTACTTCCTTCAACGACCGATTTTAATTCTTTAAGAGCATCAATAAACTCTGTAGCAAGTGGATTTTCAGCAGCCATGATGTTCTCATACATACAAAGTGTTCGTTCCTTTAGCATATTTAAATTTCTATGTTTTTCAAGTAAATCTCTTTCCCCCTCTGCAACTTTCCGCTCGATTTGCTCTTTGAATTCACATAATTTTTTCTGTTTATCCTTTTCTTTACTAATTTCAGAATTAATCTTATCTATTTTACAATGTAATGCTTGGATAGCTACATTAAGTTCTTCCAAATTTGTGCGAGTGGCAACATTTTTTTCTTTCAGTTTCGTGTTAATCTGAAGGATAGAGGCCCGGTTTGTTTCAATTGTCTTGCGGATCTTATCGTACTTTGCTTGCTGCAGCTTAATTTTGTTTTCGTAGTGCGTTACATCCTCCTGTAAAGATTTAATTAATGCGGAACCTTCCTCTAACATCTCGATTTTCTCTTGAACTGCAGTCAGTTGATCTATTTCCGGCTTTTTGTGATCTATTCTTTCCGCTGCACCGCTCACTTCTTCCTCGAGAGTTGACTGCTTCACGCGTAAGTTTTCTAACAAATCCTGTAAGCTTTTGTATGTTTCTACGTTAGTGATTTGTTCGTTACAAATGGCAATGTTTGCCTTTAAATTCTTCGCTAATGTTTCCTTATTCTGATAAGTGTCGACTACTGTCTTCAATTCCTGCTGCAATTGCTTGCAGTGCCTATCGTTATCCTCCTGTTGTCCCTGTAGATTTTTATACCTTGCCTCCACATCCTTGAATTTTCTCTGCAATTTTTCTTCTTCGTCCAACAATTTTGCATGCGCTTCGGCATTCTCTGCTAAATTTGTTTGCAGCTGTACAACCCTTTTTTGGGTCTCAGAAGTTTTAGTTGATAACTCCCTTTGCCTTTGTATAACCGACTTAATATCGTTAACATTACTATAAAAAACAATCAATATGTTCATCAATATTCGCATTTTGGTTTCAGTTCGTTTTGCGGTAGGTGCATACAGATCGGTCAGCGTTAACGAACAATCAACACCCGAGTGGTTCTTCAGGAATCTGTTAATAAAACCTAAAAGGTTACACATTGAATCGGTTTCTACTGATGTTGCAGGTACAGTTACATCCTCTCCGGTCGCTTGAGTAAAGAGAGTGCAAATAATTTGCCGAACACGTTGATAACATTCGATGACATGTTCCGAAGATGGATTCTGTAACTTTTCATTGTCGTTTTCGAAATCGGGCCAATATTGGTTAATAAATTGGAGCCACAATTCATCCGCAGATTCCATCTAAAGATATGAATTAATTCCAAGGTAGGTCTATTTGGTTGCTACCTTTTAAAACTAAATTAGCACAAGAATAAGAAACTTTACTTTTTTAAACTTCAGGATTCAGTTACAACTGTGGCTAACGAACCGACCCTACAACTAAACGTTTCCTGCTTGTTTTTTTTTCGTTTTGTGGCGCATCTACCAAGACAAATAGCGATTCCTTTCGGCTACTTCGCGATCTAGTTGGATCACTTTTTACGAAAGAACGCGCGAATTTAAATCAAAGTATGGTTAAGTTTACGGAGTACACATTTGCATTCGAATTACGTACCTATTTTTTGTTTGGATTGTGAAAATAATTTAAATACATGTGCAAGTTATCTTGCACGATTATGGTCCTCTTCAGTTACAAATATTGACTAACCTAACATTTGAGCAAAAATATCCTTGCATTTATAGCAAGGAATTGGTAATTACAAAACTTTTATGTTCAGTTTGTCTACGATTTTAGCAATCATGATCATAAGATCACACTTCGAAAGAAAGCACCTATTAGGAATTAGGATAATATTAATAAAATGACATCCGATCAACAATAGTTATTTGTTTCATTAGTACAAAAAATGTCAGTTTTCGGGACGAGGAAGATAGTTGCTGGACGACGCGTTAGCGGAGTCCAGCAACCTTCCGAGTCCCGAAAACGCATTTTTTGTACGAATAAAACATAAAATTTTTTCTCCAACCCCCTTTACTTCAAATTATATTCGAATTTAGATTCAGTCACAGTTTCACTACTAGTATAAGAACTTCTGCTTTCTTGTCCTCACGTGTCATGCCACTCTAGTTTTTAGGTTAACTTATAACCTATTCGTTCTGACTTCTTACTTCTCACCTCTCGCGACTTTGTAGGAAGCAAATCTTGAGGTAGCATGTTCTGCCGTTTCTATAATCTCTGGCGGAGTGCAATCCATGTCGCTATCAGTTTCAGTCATTTTATTGTATACACAATTAATATTGTTATATTTTGTATTGAAATAAAAAACTTACCGTATAGTTTTTTAATTAAAATTAATTGCAATTAACTTTTTCAAATTTTGAATTCAAAATGACAGATAATAGTGCAATGGGTCTGAAGTAGATGGCGTTACGCGCGACGGCGGGTTGTATACGTATTAAAATTACGTTCATCGAATATGTAAATTACGTTACACATGGTTTAAATAAAAATAGCGAGCGTAAATCATTTTCAATACATGTACATACGTATAGGTGACATCATTATTTGCATTGAATATGCAAAAAGATTTGATTTGTATGTATAGAAATATCTTATAACCTGCAATGTAAAACGATGTCAATGTGACATATCTCCGTGATTGTAATTTTTTAATTGGCCAACTTTCAAGGTCAATTTCTTTTTGGTACTAGGACCAAAAGTATCTACTTTTGTACAGTTGCCATGGTGAAAGCGATTAATCCGCAAAACGTCAATTTTACGTACCGAACACTGTCACAAAATAGCGTCTTATTCAGGTGGTTGGAGAAAAAATCATTTTCAATACATTTACAATACGTATAGCATTATTTGCATTGAATATGCAAAAATATTTGATGTGTATGTATACAAATATCTTACAACCTGCAATGTAAAACGATGTCAATGTGACAGATCTCCGTGATTGTAATTTTTTGATTGGCCAACTTTCAAGGTCAATTTCTTTTTTGTACTAGGACCAAAAGTATCCACTTTTTGTACAGTTGCCACGGTGATAGCGATTAATCCGCAAAACGCCAATTTTACGTCCCGAACACTGGCACAAAATAGCGTCTTATTCAGGTGGTTGGAGAAAAAAAAAATTGTGGCGACACAACATCTTTCTCAAGAACCTTTCTGGAGTATACGAGGTGTTCATCTCACGAATGAACTACCTAGTTCCTTCTGATGTCAATATGCTTTCTGCGGCTGTGGAAAACAGGATTCTTCATTAGACTAATATAGCGCTTTGAACATCAACTTTCAACACAGGAGTCTGAGAGATTCTACCCTGTATATACAACTTACGACGATGCACACATTTTTGAGAGTTGGCAACCACGCAATTTTTAGGAGGGGAAAGCTGCCTGCGCCATCTAAAAAGCACGAACGGGGGTTACGTTTGGCATCTTGTCTTGAATGGCGGTCGTGAACGCGTCGCTCCATAAATGTTTGTTGTTATTTTGTCTTATTTAATGCTGGTTGTAATTTTTGCATTTCTTTATATCGTATTTGTGTTTTGTATTTTATGCATTTTATATTTTTGTGTTTCAATTTTTGTTTTTGAAATTTACTTGGTTTAACCGCAATGCAGATTGAAATGTTTAATACCGTTATCCTTTTGTTTATAATTGTTTACGTTTTTGGTGTAATGCTTGCTGAATTTATATTTATTGATGTTGTATTTTTGGTCTTGTCCCTAAAGTAACATTCATCATTTTGATCATTTTGTTTTAATATGTGGAAATTACCGATTCGTTTGATGTCACGGGGGTAGTAAAAACTGTAGTCAAAAATGAGCTACGACACCTGATTGGCTAATTTCGTGATTGTCTTCGACTTGCAACTGTAGGCTCGAAACCAGGGGCGAGTTACCCATCTTGCAGGAGCGCGATTACGCTAATCAAAGCTCTTCAGTTTAGAAACTATGTGCGATAAATGAGTGGCGATTCAATCATTTCCACATATCTTGTTTTTAGTTAAATTTGCCTACAAGGCCATGTAATTTTCCATCTTGCTTTTAACAAAAGGACTTTATTGCTCCAAAGATGAGTCACATCCTGTATATGTCACCCTTTCTTAGAATCTTGGTACCTGCTTACCTGACCCATAATTCCCAAAAACTTGTTTTTTAACCTATATGTTACCTCTTGAAGTTTACCTGCTACTTTTTGTGACGTTATAATTTTATGTTACGCATTCACATCATTACAAAAAATTACTTTTACAACACAATTTGATACTAATCTGACGGTTGGTTTTTTTATTGGTAAGTTCTTTTTTTCCCAGCCTATTTCGATGTTTATTCGGTGAACTACCATTTTTAAAGTTTATTTTTGCAATGTAATTTATTTCGACTTAAATTTCTGATCTTTCACAATCTTAATAATTGCGATCATTATTAAACCAACTTTTCACAATTTGAGTGTTTTATTTTACGTTCCTTCCCTACTGCGCTTCAGGTCAAAACGTTGTCTAAAACTAACGTAAGGGGGCCCTGCCTTAGATGTTTTATCACGTGCCACTTTTCAAATTTAAGCGGGATCTTGTTTAGTTTTGGAGGGAATAGTCATTCGGATGGTCATTTCTAACGTTGCCGGGTTGACTTTATTTCCGTGTTCTTGTAGTGTGAAGTTAGCGTAGAACCCGGCGTCAGTTCCAACATCGTAACGTTCTGATTGGTTCATGTAGCAACATCCAACTCTCTATTTGACGGCAAATTGAATCATTTGACTCCACAGTCCACACTCAACAGGAAACGCACGGAGGGCTGATGGATTCAGTGAAATCAACCCCTTCACGTTGCAGATAGTCCTTGATGGCTACAAGACGCGCTTTGTAACGTTCCACTGAACCATCGCAGCATTGTGGACTTGATCTTGTAGACCCACCGACAGTCAATCGCCTTCGTATCATCGGGCCTAGGAACTAGCGTCCCAAGTGTAATTTTCATTTAGCCCATTTACCTCCTCGATCTTTGCCAATTTCCAATTTTTGGCTTGAGAACTTTCAATGGCGTCGGTGTACGATCACCGACTAAAGTAATGATAATCGGATGCTTACTGCCACTTAGGCAACCAATTAAACTATCTAAAATTGCACCGTTTCCGGCGTGAATTTGTGTGGGCACGGCGTCCCGCATTGTTGTCTTTACTTTGGCGTTTTTTCGTCACTGCCTTAATATAAACGCTACAGTAGGTATAATGACAAAAGTTGGTAAAACCGAATTGTGTGCATTATATTCTCGAAAATTTAATAGCCAGTAATTCACATTATTGGTATCTGCAATTTCGTTTTTCGTTAATTCTGCAAGACAAGTTCTTATTTTAGTGATCCAGTTTTGTTACACACTGACAAAAAAGACCTACGTAAACGCAGTAAAAAAATTAAAATTAAAGATTTAAATAGTAGTTGTGTTTTTTATTTTTTATTGCGTATTCCATCATAAAAAATTTTAGGATGTTTCCAGTCAAACTGAAAGTGAAAAAATTGTTATTATTGTCAATGAATCCTTTTCTTTCTACTCTAAATTGAAAAAAGAGAGGTAACAACTTCCGCGAACAATTTATAACAAAGTAACCGATGAAGTGGTAATTTATACACCCTCCCTACCATTGACAATCACTTCAATGTTGATAATGTCCTTACCAAGCGCCTTCATGGATTGGCCATTTCCCGATTTGAACGTAGGTATACAAACCAATCTTTGATGTCGGCATCGATCATTGGGTTGCTCTATTACCTACACCAATAGAGCATTTTTGGTGTTTCTACTGATCGCCAAATTCCCCATTTTTATCACCAAGAGTCTGATTATTCAATTATAGATACCTACTAACTACATAGACATACTCAATAATTAGGTATGCGAAAATAACGCATATTCCGCAGAGGTGTGTTGCTTGAAGAACTGGCATCATGCAGCATTTTTGCGAATATAACCTATCATAGCAAAAGTAAAGAAAAAGTAAATAATTTAAACAATTTTATTGATAGGTATTGTAACAAAAATAATTGGATTAATTGATGTTAGGTAGGTAGGTACCTACCTATATCTGTGTTAATCTAGAAGCAACGCCATCTGGGATTTACCGTTTGCAGCATGTGCGCAATAAGGCTGCGCACTTATTGAAAACACCAAATGGGCTGAAATATAACGTAAATATATCAATTTAATATATAGCCACGATGGAGTGATGAAAATATCACTTCAATTCGTTCAAAACGTCTTAAAATACAATTCCATTGCACGTTATTCGTTAAATACCGGTAATTATCCATATACTTAAAGAAATACAAAAGGAGCATACCAACTGAAATAGCCTTCAGGGCACCACTCAAAAATGTACATTCTACAGATACATTTTTTTTCCCAATCGACTTGGCACAGTACGGAATCATCATAAGCCATTGACAAGCCTATTAACGCCAGCACCAATACAATACAGATAATGGAACTTTTCATGTTTAGCACCTTTCTGACTTTCCAATGTAATTCGCACGGCTATATACCTATTACAAGCGCATAAAAGTGAGTATAATCTTTTACTTATCATATCACACATTCGATTAGTTACACTTAAGATAAATTACTTTGGGTCCAATCGTTAGTTCATCCGAAAAGTGAGTTGCGCCATAAGTAATCGCGAAGACTCCTTTATGGTTGAAAACTTCATACATACATGGTGCCCCAACGAAAATCTGTAACTACCTACCCATAAAACTGGGCAAAGTAAATGTGTTCATCCAAATCCAAAAATCGGTTGACTTTCAAATCGAGGGGAGGCCAGGGAGCAATTTTTATGCAAAAATAATTTTTAGAATTTTAACACTGTGCCTAGGGGTTGCACCCCCCTATTTATATACTTATGACCAAGGGTCAATTCACCCACATTTGTAAGCCAATAAAAGTATAATCGATTCAACATTCACGAAATACCTACCCAAGGTTTACCCTATGGGCTTCCTGAAATTTTTATTACATATGTGATATGTTTTTCTTTACTAGAAGCATCTATGGTTAAATAAAATATCTTCATAAATAATAAATGTGTAAACAAGTAATATAGTAAACGTGCTTCTGAGCATAGCTGTAGTATGCGCAAGACCAAATTTTGAACCAGTTGTTATATATTTGCTTTTATTCCAATTAGTGCTTGAGGTGTTTCCATAGTACCGAGGTGAAAATATTGATCTGCTGTTTCAAGCCCAGAAGACTCTCGCAACCGTTTTGTAAGACGGTGGAATGCTTCATTTTCAAGAATGGAAGATGCGCGAAGGGGTCGTCGTGCAAGTACCGTCATCAGGGTCCCGTTGTAGAACATTTGCCTAGTCCGTGTTGCGAGACGCAACCGTTTTAAGGAGGGGGGGGGAGTGTAGGGAACATTCCAGTAATTTCAATAGACATCGAGGCGCCATGAAAGATGAGTCGTAGGCGCGACTTAAGAAACGGAAAGGTACATTCCTTCCTTAACCGTCCAGATATTTGCAGATCGCTTATTTGAGTTTAGTTCCTACTTCGAAGCGTTCTTGTTATACAAAATAAATTGTGAGTGATAAATTGTAATTACTGTCATAAGTTAATCAATTTTAAGACTGTTGTAAATTCATTGTTAATTAATTGTTATAAATAAACAACGTAATTAAGTTTACGTTACAATATAATTAAATCATTCCAAGTTGGTGAATAACATTATGTTAAACATTACCTATTTTTAGCGCATTTTTTAAGAATTAAAAAAAATGTGCTATTGTTTGCGTTTTGTCCGTCCGTCCGTCCGGACCCACTTCTACCGTTTTGAACTACTTCTAGGGGAATGGTCCTAGAGTCCTAGAATTTTTTGCAGTAGATAGCCTATACCTTGAAGGTGTGCCAGACAAACAATGTATATACAACATATACAAATAATGTATATACAATGCTATTATGAACAACGTAATTTCTGTTGATAACTAAGTAGAAATTTCACATCTATCTATGATAATGTTTATACGGTTCCTTGTCATGCCCCTTATCAACAATTACCTACCTGTCCGAAAGAAATTAGATAACGATTACCTACTACATATCATATCCATATCAATCCACTTAAACCGAATTTACACGTGTCAAGTACCTAGCTAAAGCAAGTAACATTGAATAAGTAATTTTATTCAATGATAATAACTAAATTTCTATTATCTATACCTATATAGTTAATTGAACATATCACAAATAACATAAAACATCGATTTAAGTCGATATTATGATTAAATGATCACAAAAAATTCAATATGTCGATCACGGTATTCAAGTCTACAAATTCCATTCCAAAAAGTCCGTAGCTGCGGGTGGTGCGAAAATGTTTTTTAAGTAGAGTTCCATTACCTACAATCAATAAGCATTATTGCAAGTATCGCAATATCGACTTAAAGCGTTATTTTTTTTGTTATTTGCGACATTTTCAATTAACTACATGCGAAATTAGATCACTCACTAGTAGGCGGGGGACACTTTGTAACCCGAAGGCCCAATCTTCAAATAAGCATAACTTTTGTTTGAAAAGTTATTTTAAAAAAACTGTTCGACAATTTTGTTCCTTAACTCATCAAGTATGTCACAACAAATTTCGTGGAATTCTCTCCATTTTCGTTGTCCGGCCAAGAATTGCGCAGTGGAAATTTTTTTTTCGAATTTTCAAAAACTAATTCCAGATTCGTCATTTTCATGTTCAAAAACCACCAGATACCAAATTTCGTCGAAATCAGCACTTATTTTCGCACCCCCAGTACTTCGTTGGGAAATGCGCTAAAAAACCTAAGATTCTCATTCGTACGAGATAGTCATTAGTCGCGAACAAAAGAATGCAAATGCAAAACATCGTTAGATAGAGGAGACGGGGTGACGGAGGAGCCCGAACCTCCCTTTCGCAGCGTGGCAGTCATTCAAAGTGTTTAAAATGACGACTTTGCAAGTATAATTTTGAAAAAAATTCCGGACCCTCCTAGCCGGTGGTATTCCATTTTTTCAGAAAACTGAATCAAGATCATCAGTGAAGACGTGTTATGGTTACATATTTGAAATTCTTTGTAATGAACTTTAGGAAAATAAAATATTTTTTACACTGGATGTTTGATTTTTAGAATTCCGCTGGCGTTGAATGTGAAGTTGGAGTCAGTTGGTCACACATTCATAATATTGTAGAAATATTTCTATTTTTGATGCGGGAAATATATCTTGAAATAGGTATATATCAGAAATATTTCGAAAACGAGTTTCAGCAATTCTTTTAAATAGCCGCATTCTAATTTGTTCATTTTCTTGAAAAATTACGTTAAGTAAAAATAAGGGACATTTGCTAGAATTGTATTAGGCGTTCTGTAGAAGTTTATTTAATTTTAAGATTGTCGTTACGATAAGAGTTGCGCTTAAGCATTGAATAAACACCTTCAATGGCTAAAGGCTAAAAGTTAATTTAATTTATAAACAGATGTTGTCGCAGGTACGCGTTTAGATAAAAGAATTTTGCGTATTGGGAGAAAAATTTCAGTTTTATGTAACAAAGAAATAGTTTCTGAGGCGAATTCAGTATAGTGTGTTTTGGTTGTGTGGATATTTGTATTATTGACATTACAAGGTAATTATGGTTTTACTTAATCTGTTTTGATCGAGCGCTTGTAGCGTGGTATTTGTCACTGTAGGCCAGTCAACCTGTGTCGTAAAACACCAGTTGAAGGAAAAAAATAGTATAAAGCTAATTTTTTCCCCATCGACTACTACCATTTAGACAAGTGTTTAGCCAAAAGTCCCCGCCCCTACCCCCCTTGCTTCCCCCCTGTGCCACCCTAAACATGAAAAGTGTAGGGGTTTCGTAAATCGCGTCTCTCTCGATTACTAAACAACATTTCGGATTGCAATTTGTTTTATTCTCTTTGCTATAACATTGTCTACAAATAAGTTTCAGTTGACTTTCGTCGTAACTTTTACCGTTTGTTAGTAATTCGTATGAATAGGTAAAAAGTGGTATATTTTTCGGCTCGTAATTTTACTTTTTGTCGCAGAAAATTTCACGCCGACATTTTATCAAAAAATGTTACCTACAAAAGTTGTAGCTCCCATTATTACTTTTAAAATGATATGAAATATTACTTACTTGAAGAGCCTGGAGATTCAGCCGGTGTAATGCAGAATGCGTACCCAGTCGTGGCGGGTTCTGTCGAAGTGGGCCCGGCGTTGCAATGCTAATATTGTTGTATAGTGAGTGTTTTTTTTTAACTTTAAGGTACACTATTGCATTTTCTCTAAACAAACAATGAAACCTAAATTCCACCCTTTTTAAACTTGTGTCAAATATTAATAAATCCTTGTATAGGTACAGCTAAAAAACGTATTTTCCTGACTTTTATAAACTATTGTTTGAAAATGCATATATTTTTTTAATGTTATTTTAAAATAAACTAATTGCGGTATCTTAATTTGAAGTAAAAAATATTTTCAGATTATTCACAATAAAAAATAAATTGATGTTGACCATTTCCGATTTCCTAAACTTCCAGGACAAGTTCTTCATTTTCCTTGACTTCAACCAAAGTTACATTACTGCATGATCCGCCACAGCTCCCACACATTTCTGTGCAACAAGTGATGCTTTAAATCAGCTGCAATTATATTATAATTAATTGAGTTATCGTGCTAACGGACGGACAGATACAACAAAATTATAAACTCGCTAGGAGCTTGTTAATAATGCCGACGCGGTTGGTGTGTTGTCAGAGGAAAAGGCAGACGTCATGTAACACTATGCCAATTTCATGGAAATAATACTTCGGGAGTAGTTAAAGAACTCTAAATAAAAGCATTTATTTATTGAACAAATGTTTCTTCAACAAAGTATAGACACACAAATGTGATCCGTTTAGAACAAACTTGCTATAAATTACAATACACAAATACCTATTACAGTCTAATAAATACATAAAATTAGGAATGCGCTTAGAATATAAATAACACAATAAATTCGAAAGATGCGTTAAAAATATTTCAGCAACTGTTAGTACACAGGTGCAATCACATAAAGACAATGACACAAAAATACTGCAATATTAAACAACTAAAAGAAAATATAGGAAAAAGCAAATTTTTATTTTATTTCAATTAACCTGCCATTGCCTGCTCCAGTCTTTTCCTACTTACATCTAAAGATTTAGGAAACATAAAAAGAAGTACTACACGTTCGGTAATTTAAGTAATCTTCTCTAAGTTGAGTTTGAACAACACGTACAAAACTTTTCCTTAATACTTAAAATTATTCATATGGACAAGTAGTGTATTACTTACACAATTTCTAATATCAGCACGATTCCCAATGCGAAAACTCTGCCCCGCCATGTTTTTATATGTAATTGGAGAATTGAAAAAAAAACATAAAAAAATAATACTCATTGATTCCATTAATACCGATTATATTTTACGTTGTAAACAAAATTGACTAAGCGACTGATGTTATACTGTTGTAGTTGACTGCACTCGACGAAGGGGACAGCAATGGAGATACCATCGTTGCTTCATAGAAATTGGATCTAACCGTTCTATGATGCATCATGCCTGAAAAGTAAGCAGATTCTTTATTAGTAGATAACCCCACATATCATATCATATAATGCAATACCAATACCATGGGCCCAACTAAAAGGAACTCGTGTCTGCACTAGGGCGAAAAGTCTTATATGGGCAACAGATGCATATGTGAAATGTTATAACTGCAAAACAAATGAAAGTTTCCTAGAGCTCCTCAGTGCAAAACATTTAATATGTACATCAGGAGCTCTATATAGGGTGAATTGAAGATAATAAATTATACAATGCATGCAATAAAATAAGAGATTTCTTGTCAAGTCGGAATTTTGTTCAAAAAGACACAGAATTGGAAAAATTGTGAAGGCCCCTGGCAAAGTGTTAGCCCCGCCACTCCTCAGCCAGGTCTGCATTTCTGTGTTTGGGGATTATTCAAGAAGTGTTGGACAAGTTTTCAGCGTGCCTCAAATACCTACCCAAAAATGTCTACCAGCTCTTGGACTAAAAGGTGTTATCCGACAAATTAATTGGCTTTATTTAATAACAACGCCATGTGCGAGAAAACGAAGGAGTGTTTCAAGAATTGCCAGGAACGAATGAGTGGAGGTGGCTTCACTTGTAACGAGGCTGTTCAGCCTGATTTAAAAGAATGTTGCGCTGAATTATTAAGGGCAAGTTTTCGCCGATTACGTTTGAAACTTACACATGCGTTTGAATATTAATGTGACTAATCTGTAAGTACTTATTTTTTTTCCCGAGATCTTTTAAATTGTTTAGTTGTCCGTTGTGTAAATGGGTTGTGTTTGTGTTAAAAAAAGGCGTTGGCATCCATTTTTTTTCTTTCAGGTTTTTGTAGGCATTTGATTTTTTATCATTATGTGTAATAAATTCTTGTAATTTCTTGTACGTGTGTCAGTTTGAATGTCTAATAATAAACTTTAATTTTCACTCTAATCCCTTTTAATGTGACTGTTAATTGCGATTCAAAAAAATCGATCATGTGAAATACCATAATGAGATCACCCAACAGCTAGACACAAAAGAGGAACTGAAAGCAGCCTCAAATGATCTAGAAAAACTTCTTCTCAATACGTATGAGAGGAGCTGCCCCACAAAAAAAGAACCAGAAAGATAGGTAAGGCCTCACTCCGGAGATAATAGCAAAATATTCACACTGGTAACCATATCAAACTATGGTGGGCGGTAGAACAATCTGACATTGCAGGCAACATGAAGGCAGATGCACTGGCTAAACAAAGAGCCAGGTGGAAGTCCTTCTGTGGACTGCACAAAAGCCAATACAATACCCATGATAACATTCCACTTCAACTAAAATCCACTAAAAATAATAAAAGTAAAGTAGCACTAGCACTGCGACCCAATTTCGGAAAAAGAAAAAGCAACTGGCTGCTTATGTTTAAAAATACTGGAAAGAAGAAGCCTAGTCGAACTTGGTATTTAAATACTGACAAAACAGCATAGTGTGTAACCTCAACCTCAGTACTGTCCCCTTTTTGTTGGTTTCGTAATCTAAACAAGCAAACACCCATTTGTAAAGTGATCAGAAATCGAGCTAGAAATGTTATCACTTAGAAGTATGAAAGGAAAACGGCCCTCTCCTTGTCTGAAGCTATTTTCATATCTGTTCCAATATAATTAGATACTTTTTAGAAACCTTTTCGTAAAAATAGCGTCGAACATGCGCACGCCATGTGATCATGCGTAATACAAATGAAACAGTTTTTTTTTCTTGAATACACAATTCTCCAGCAGATATAATATACATATTAAGAATGAACAATTTTTCTTATGGTGTACGTTTTACGCGTTGAAATAATTTCAAAGCTAATAATTTTTCATTTTGGTTAGTTCAAATATTCAAAAATCAAGTTTTTTGTTATATTTTTATATTAAAGGAGCAAAACATCATTGTCCAACCCTATCGACAATGATGACAAATTTATGTTGAAGTAAATTCATTTGTTAATTTCAATTGTTTATAATAATTAATACTGCACAAAATGCTTACTTTGTTGAGAGATGTTTCTTGTATGTGCGATCCATTTAAAGTCCGATTATGTTTCGCCAATTTTTCTTTATTCATTGGTGAACCTGTGATCAAATGTGTGGAATAATTAACAAAAACTTTTACTTACTAAATATAATAGCATTCACGCATGTACAAGATTAATCAATACTGTGATCCGTTGTCCTGAATCAACATTGATATTTTTTCAAGTTGTTTGTATTTTGTTTTTTTAAATAACTATTAACTACATCTTTGTTTGTAATAAAAAAAATTGGTGTACTGATAAAGCATAAATGATAACACCAGTGGATATCAACAAGTCACACTGTACAGGGTGGCCAACTAAGAATGCGAGGTACTGTATCTGAGAATCTATCCATCGCAGAGGCTTGCGGTAAAAAAAATTATTACTAAAACGGCCACGAGCAAAACCTGGAAAATATTTTTAAGTTTCTGAAATGACCGCTAGGGGGCGTAACTGCAATCTGGAATCTAAAAAAATGATGTTTCTGTGAATTCCGCTATATTAACCTAACAAAAAAATGTCCAGTCTTTGAAGTTGACGATAATCTGAACAATTTTTGTTTGACAACTTTTCTCTAAAAATGAAGTGGTGGGGGGTATTCAAAGGTTTCCGTAAAGAACACCCTGTATCTTAAAATCGGCTGAGCTGATTTAAACAAACTCGGGTTAGTTAAAAAGAGCTATTCTTCAGCTACATATATTACACTATTTGAAGTTTTGTTAGTTTCACATATCACCGTTTGAGGGCTTTTTTGACATTCCGACAGAAATGGTGAATTTTCTCAAAAAAATTAAATGCATTGGTTCGATTTTTTTCATGAAAAAGTAGCTAAATGATGCCTAAACAAACTCGCGAAAACAGCATCTCGATATCTTGAGATATATAAGTATATATATTTTTTATATCGTGATGGCCAGCATTTCGGGCATTTACGGCGGCATTAAAAGCTTCCTTTTTTTACATCGATCCACCTTAGGGCCACAAATTATATAATAAAAATAATTCCGGAAAAATTCGCTTAAAACATTTTCTTTGGCCTAAATTTTAGGTTAGGAACAAGATATCGAGATGCGGTTTTCGCGAGCTTGTTTAGACATCATTTAGCTACTTTTTCATAAAAAAAAATCAAACCAACGCATTTAAATTATCGTCAACTTCAAAGACCGGACATTTTTTGTTAGGTTAATATAGCGGAATTCACAACATCACTTTTTTAGATTCCAGATTGCAGTTACGCCTCCTAGCGGCCATTGCAGAAACTTAAAAATATTTTCCAGGTTTTTCTCATGTCCGTTTTAGTAATACATTTTTTTACCGCAAGCCTCTACGATGGACAGGTTCCCAGATACAGTACCTCGCATTCTTATTTGGCCACCCTGTACAACTGTACCAAACCAAAAAAGCACTAAGTTGCAAATCAAAGAGAACACTATTGACTAGCTTGTACATGACATTTGTAACAACTGCAAAAATAAAACTAAATTCAGCAGTACCAAAACAAGAAAATTAAAAGCGATCAAAAACAAAATATCAATATCACTCACCTATATAACTAAGTAACACAGGCAGGAAAATTAATCCATGAGCAGCTCCAAAAAGTACAATACCTAAGTACATTCGGAAATAGAATACTTGAAATATTTGAGATTTGGCAAATCCGAGCACGATAATTCCGCCAAACTTGGTCAGCGTAATTCCAGAAAATATGGAACTTCCCATTCTTGTGAGGGCGTCCGACGCGCGCTCCAGTCGTGTGGTCTCGACCGACACGGAGAAACTATGCACTAAATGAGAGCAGAACTCCACCGCGATACCGATGGCCATGACTAGGTTAACTAGAGAGACGGCGTTTAAGGTTATGTGCCACCAGTACATCAAGCCGAGCAGATTGATAAGGATCATTATTATCGTGATAATCACGACGATCGATGAGAAAATGTCCAGAGCCATTAGCAGGAAGGTCACGACGAAGATGGCCGTCAAACTGATTCCCAAACTTTTAATCGTGTCGCCCCACATAGTCAAATACTGCTCGTAGAACACGTAGAAAACCGAATAGGGGAATACCTCGATCGGTTCCGAGACATTCAACCCTTTGGTCTTAATTTTAGCGTTAATTGTGTCAGAAATGGTCTGCGCTATCGCCCTAGCGCTTCTCATGCTTTCGTAGTAATCCTTGGAAGTTTTCAGTATCGTATGATAGGCCATAAAGTAAGAGGCTCCCACTGTTGATAGCTGCGTCTTCGGATCGGTGACATAGTTGACGCCTTGACCGTACGCCGCGTGTCCCGCCTTCATGCAATCGGCGTCCGGATTGTCTTGCAGGAAGAAGGATATGTAGTGTTCGAAGTTTGTCGAATTCGGACGCGGCGGACGGTCTCCTATCGTTATGTTGCAGGCCTCGCACTTGCCACCTGAAAATTATTGTTTAAATTTACAGGGTGTACCGTACAAAAATAATGGGTGGTGGGGAAGACCAAACCAAACAAAACAAATAAAAAATGATCCAAAATGATTCATTTGAGAGTTAACAGTCTCAAAATTACCATTGCCAATTTGCAAAATCTTCTCCAAATTTCTACCACTTAAATAGGACAGTAAAATTAACAAAATTCCAATTTGAACATTGTCACTTATGATAAAAAATTTAAAAATCTTTTTGAAGTTTTTTGCATTTTTTTGAATAAAAAGTTGTACAAAAAAATCGAACTTGTTGAAGCCTAATCTTGTAAAAACTGAAGAAAACATGGCAAAAATTGTCGCTTTTATGACGCCATCTACATTTGGCAATGAAGCTTTCAAAAATACCTCTATTTCTTTTGAAAAAAAATGCACGGTTTACTGTAGACATTTTAACAATTTTGGGAAGATTTTTTGATTTTGATAAGACTTATCTGGCTCAGATGTGTTAGTATATAGCAGTGTTTCTCAAACGTTTTTGTCTGGCGGCACACCAAAATTACATATTAAACAAAATTCGCGGCACCCCTAGTATTATTATTTTTGTCTTTTCAAAAAAATTTCTAAACACAAAAGCATTTAAAACTAGTTGTCAGGTAAACTCCCGACCTGACTTTCCGACTACTTTTAATATAGTCATTACAATTATCCTAGCAATTATCTTTGGCCATAGTATAACATTTAGAAAATGCCCTCTAGCGCCTTTGTTTTGAACCCGACGCAAAAAGTGTAGAAGCCTTTTCTGTAGACCTCATCAATACACATCTTTTTTGTAATTGACATTTTTCACTCTGATGCTTACTTTTAGAGAAAAATTAAATTTAGGAAATAAAATAAATAGTTTTAACTTTTCAATTCAAAACTTCTTAAAAACAAAGGAACTCACAAAAAAATTGTAATGAACTTTTTGTAGAGTTTTTTGGTCAGTGTGTACGAACAAAATTTTTTCAAGCCGTTATGACTCTTAAAATTTTGACATCCTCAACAACCTTGAAGATGGTTATGGATCAAAACCAAAATAGGACGTTTTCGATTCCTCATACCACCCCATATGCACCCCAAATATGAGTTATAAGATTGAGAAAGTCTGATGTAATGCAATACCAGCATATGATTGATTCATGAATTATGAACCAGAGAATTAAATAAAATAGAAACTAAAAAACAGAATTGTAATAAAAAATGTATATATTCATTCATTATAATAAATTTTAATTCCTTTTTTAATTTATGTAATTTGAAGCTCATTAAGTAAATATTTAAAAATTTCGCGGCACTCTTATGAAATGCACCTTGGGGTGCCTCGGCACCCACTTTAAGAACCACTGGTATATAGGCTCGCACTGTTGATTCATTACATCACATTTTTGAAAAAGGGGTACTTTAAATTATGACCTTTAGCATTTGAAACGAAAGCCCAAATCCGCCAAAGGACTACGTTTTTGATGGGTCATGATTTATTATTCGCATCAAACTGCCTTCAATTTCCGTTCATTTAAAATCAATTCAATTTTTAACTGATATCAATGTTTAGGGCTCCCAAAAGGGTCACTTAGGAAACTCAAATTTCTGCCAAATCTCATCTCATAGTCGATTTGATCAAACATAAGAATTTATAGAATTTTCATAAAAACTTTTGAAAAAATCGGCTTTTTCATATTGATTTGAGATTTAACACACTTGCGACTGTACTGTCGGGATGTTAAGTATATGTAACAAAGGTGATCTCTAAAGTTATCATTTAATAAAAAAAAGTCCACAGAATTTCACAGGTAAGTACACATTTTGCGTCTATTTTGATTATTTTTTTTATTTTCACTTTGGTGCGAAGACTTTTTTGAATGCTTCTTCATTCGATCACCGTGTCAACTGTTCGAGTCCCTTGAATATTTTTTTTTTTTGCAAAGGTATGCAGAATTCAAAAAACAAACATTGACCCGTAGGACCAAAACCGCGCATTTTTGGATGTATTTTTGAATGTCTCATTGCCAAATTTTTTTGACAATTTTTTCTTTGATTTTTACAAGATAAAGACTAGTTATGGAAATTTCAAAAAGATTTTTGAACTTTTTTAATTCCTTTTTTTAATCATTTTGAACCAATATTGAATTTTAGTGTAATTTCTTTGAAAAGAGAATTTATCTGTTGAGAATAAAATATACAGGGTGCTCAATTTAAAAAGATAACGTTAGGTCCGATAACTTTTTTACCTGACTACGTATACTTATTTTGAAAACAGCAGATTATTCAACAATCATAAAGAAACTTTGTGATAAACGTGTTTGTCTATCATTTAACTGAGAAAATATGGAGATTTTTTCAAAGCTTAGATCATATACAGTGCTATTCACTAAGAAGTAGACATAGGGATTTATGTGTATTGTTTTTACCTATGTCTACTTTTAAATGACTGAAGGGCGCCTAATTTTATGCAACCAAAATAACTTCTTAAAACCAATGAATGGCTTCCGTATTTTTATTTACGTTCGTGTGTGATATATTCAACTGAAGAAGAAGTTGATATTGTGAATTGGGATAGCGCCGGAAACAATTTAAGAAGCGTAAAAGATTGGTATATTGGCGCAGATGCTCCTTATTGAAAGTAAATGACAGGCTATATCTATATAAGGTGTTATGAAATTCGCGCCCACATACAATGGGGGGGGGGGGGGGGGGCTTAATTCTGAGACAAAACTTTATAGTACTTACTGTGATCCGAGTGTTGACAAAACGCTCCTGTTTTCGAGTTAAATTTACAGCAACTCTCTATGGAAGACCAATCCATATAATCGTCCAGCCAACTGGAACTAGGCCTCGACATGTACGATGTAGCAGACGACTTCGATGCGGCATAAAGTTGGGAAACCAACGAGTCCGAATCGCAGTACTGTCCACTACAAATTAAATTCTGCGCATTAAAGTCGCTGTAATTTAAACCACCCTTCACTACAAAGTACGTCGGAAGTCCGATGCACAGATACTGATTTAAAAACTGGAAATATTTAAGCACGTAACTGTCTTCGGGCATGGATAACTCTTGGTCCAATCCGACTTCTATGTGAGGTAAGACGGCAATCGAAGAACAAAGCCATCCAAAGAATACTATCACAACTATGACTCGCACCACTTTGCTCATCAGCACAGGTACATAGAGAGACTTGAAAAAGCTATACAGTAGTCCCTCTTGCCCTCCTTGAGGTGCGTCCTTTTTGGAACCTCTGATAAAGCAGCAAACATCGTATCGGTTTGCCGACTGTCGAATCGTATCCAATGATAGTAAGCTGACAAAGCAGGTTATTTGCAAAATAAAGTCTAATAGTAAGGCCATTCCGGCGTATAACGCAAACGCTCTCACTGCAGGCATATCTGAGAGACCGCCCAGGAAGAAACAGCAACTTTCCGAAATACTCGTAAGTAACATGGACGGTCCGACTTGGCCTAGTATCCTTCCAATATGCTCGGCGGTAGTCTCATCGTGTCGCCGCGGTTCGCGCTGATGCGTTTGCACCAAAATAAAGATATTGTCGACGCCGACCGCAAGCACCAAAAACGGAATCACCTCAATAATAATCAAAGTTGCCGGAATTCCGATAAACCCGAACAACCCCACGGACGACGCGACCGACGCCAACACTATCGTCACCCCGCCAAGACCTAACGTGACCTTGCTGTCGATCAACAGTCGGCTACACGTGTGCACTTGACCCAGCGAAATTGCGATGTAAGCGAACATGATCACGTACGATATCAAAATCGTGATAATATCCGAATGGCTGCCGCGATCCAGTTCGTCTTCGATCGAACGCTGGGAACTAAACGCGACCTCCATGTATTCGGGCCGCTCGTGTTCCGTCCAGTTCTTCATGAACTGCACGAACTTACGTTCCCATTCCATTGCCGGGCCTACCTTCGTTTTGTTGTGGAAATTCTGCACCAGGAACGTTATAATGATAGCCTGCGCCTTCTTGTAGTCGGGCGTATCCGACAGGTACTCCCCCTCGCTTAAAAAGCCGCCGACCGCTATCGCGGGATCGACTGGGCCGCCGTACGGCGCTAAGCAATCGAAATTGAAGGCGTTTCTGCAAATAAAAATAGATTAGTAGACAAAAGAACAACTATGGAGCACCATCATATAGAAATGGACGGCGTGTGCCAATGCTAAGCGCGGATACTGCAGGTACTTGTTTCCCCCCTAAGCTCATATTGTAAACTGGGTACCAACGGCAACATTTAGCACAAGAACTCTTACCGAGGTCGTAATTTGGACTCGATTAAACACACAATAGATCATTTACAGATGAAAAAAATTTATTAGACCAAATCAATCAGTAAAGCTAAAATAAAAATAGGCATTCAGGGCCACAGAGACCACGCAACAAGCGATCGATTGAATAATTAAATAAAGAAATCTTAATTACCGTAAAGTGTTAATAATCCAAAATATCCGGTCGTAATTATCATTTTCAACATACATAATTTACAAACGAAAGACAAAAACTAACTCATGTTACGTCTGGAACTTCACTGGAACTACTTGTGGCTGTTCATGGTGGAAAAAAACCTTTACCAGGTAATTTGGACCTTATATAAAACTGGTTTCACTTAAGCGATAAACGCAGACGACAAAATATTCAAATTTCTTCTTTGAATACGTGATTGTACCACTTATCAAAATATACTATCCACTTTTATCACGAGTTAAATCTCATTAAACGGTCTCTATCTTTCTTCCACACAATTTTACAATGAAACAAGACTGACTGTCTTTCAAAAATCTTTCATAAGAGCAAAACTGCCAAACAATAAGAAGCTACGTTCAACGTCCATTTTAAACAACAAACCGTCTCCTTCTTCTTATCAAATTATTGCGTCATCAAAAAAAACTCACACAAACTAACACGTGCTTATCTGCAAACTAATTAGCCCACGCAGTGATAACGAAATCTTATCGCACTAATCAGAGATAACATTTTTACTTTACGTTACCTCCGTCGACTAAGAGGAGACATCCTCAACAAATTTCCAAACCATTGCCAAACGATACATGGAATTGCCATGTGGTTTTATTTCCTCTACTTGTAGGATTAATATCAAGCAGTCAAAACAAAAAAAAAGATCCCATCCAACCTAACGCTGGAAACAACGGCCCAAAAGTTGTTCGGGGCCCAGCGCTGGCACATAAGAGCCCCAGGAGTCTCATACTTGAGAAGATTATCAGATATTCTTTTCCTAAGAAGTATTGCAAAGGACATAGCAAAGGGGGGTCGGGGGTATGGAATTTTTATCTTTTTTCTATCTTACATGGCTAGTAAGATGATAACATACCAAAAACTCAAACTTTTCGTTTCACCCTGTATCTCAGAAACAAACGTAGCTAGATCGATTCTGTTTGTGGTATTAACAGTTTCCCAAAAAGTGGCGCAATGTCGCGAAAACCGCCAGTCTCTATCTTTAAAAACAGCTGAGATACACTGCAGTCTCAACCAAAATACGACATACTGTACCAGGTAACCCAATAAGACTGTTCCTCAGCCATATCTTGAGAACCGTTCGTCCTATGACTTAGGGATAATAAAATTATTGGGTAAATCGGTTATGAAGAATGGCTGGAAAATATTTTCAAGTTCTAAAAATGACCACCAGAGGGCGTAACTGCCATCTTAAATTTTAAAATTGCATTTTCTATCAATTTCGCATAATAAACAACATTCTTTTTTCACATTTTTAAAAAGAACCAGTTTATCTATCATTTTCGCAAAAACAAAAACAAAGATGGTGTGGGGCGTTCAATTGTTTTTGCAATAACCTGCTTTAACTTGTTAACCGTTTGACCGATTGTAACAAATTTGGTATCGTTCAAAAGAGCATTCCTTGGGCAATAAGAATCAACCGAAATAGAGTTAATTTAGTTAAATCCTTCTCCGCCAGGGGGCTAGTTTTGACATGATCCAAAATCCTAAAAAAATCAAAAAAATCAAATGGAATGATATGACTTTTTCTTTATGAAAATGTAGCCAAATAACATCCAAAGAGGCCAGTGAAAACCGTTTTTCAAAATCTCGTTCCTAACTTCAAATATTGAGAAAATGAGATTAATTAATCAATGAATTTGCTGGCGATATATTTTGAGTGTTTTCAAAATGCGACCATCGTTGCCCGCATCTTCTATTTGCGTTATCCGAATCAACCACGAACCATCGCCGCCAGCGTATTAAATCCTTCTTGGTTAGAAATCGGAATTTTAGAAAAGATTACAAATTCAAAAAACTGCATTTTCTGAATGTAAATACAGCAGAATAATTTACAAATTACGGCTGTTATTATTTTATAATGCATCGTGTTTCATTTGTTTAATTTTCCAAGGCCTACCTAAAAGTGTAGGGTGCTTTTCTTTCACGCCATCGACAAATACCAGAAATACGTCAAAAGTACATTTAAGATACAATTTAAGCAGTTTTATTAATTAATTAATCTCATTTTCTCAATATTTGAGGTTAGGAATGAGATTTTAAAAAACGGTTTTCACTAGTCTCTTTGGATGTTTATTATGCGAAATTGAAAGAAAATGCAATTTATAAATTTAAGATGACAGTAACGCCCTCTGGTGGTTGTTCTTAGAAATTGAAAATATTTTCGACCGATTCTTCAAACCGAATTCAAAAAATCAACGTTGATTTTTTAAGTTTGTCATCCTAAAAATGCAAGGATTCAATGAATTAAGATCTTAGATTTACAATGGTCTGGGTTCCTGAAAATTTAGATTTCTTCCGATGAAAGTGAAACTAATCGTATTAATACGTCCACTATATAAACCTGTATGGTAAAGCAATAATACCTGATGAAGTCAGTTGTGGTCTAAAATGGGGCATTCACAAAGAACGTTGAGAGTGTCGAACTAAGAACATGGCGCACAAAATTTGTCGGACAATGTAACCATTTCATTTGACAACTTTGAAAAAATCAGACAGTTGGTCGTAAAATGATGTACCGTCGGACGCTTCCGCAGACAGAAACTTGTAAAAATGGCGGCTAAACACACTTTTGCTACCAACCGTCTCATTTTTTCAAAGTTGTCAAATGAGATGCGACAAATTTTGTGCGCCATATTATTGGTCCGACGTCTTTTGTAGATGGCCAATAAGAAGCGCCGCGTTTACAAGAATTTTCGTGCATAAAAAACTTGGGTTGAAAAGAAGCCGCACAGAAGGGAATCAAGTCTCAAAAGAATTGACGACCCGCGGACTATCATAGATCAACTGTACTAACCTATATGGTTATGCAATGATAAAAGCAACTTTTTCGGATACTTACTGTGAACAGGCGGCGAAATGATCCAAATAATTCGTCGTAATATTCTTGTACTCATCGCTTTCTTCAAACGTGTCCATGTCGTTCTGATAGTATCCCCAAATACTTTGCACCATACACTCGCTACTCTTGGTATCTGTTTGATCTTTAGGTCGGAGCGGTGCAAAGCAAATTTTGTCTAACGAATGATCTGTTCCGTTTCCGATTAACTTGATACGTTCTTGCAGGTCATAGACTGACTTTAAAAAGGTGTCGTTAAATACTGATCCGAAAGTATATATTCCGTTTTTGGTTTTATGTTGTATGTGGGGTAGCCCTACCGCTCTAATTATTATTTGTTCCGTTCTATAAAATGGTTCAAATTTCTCGTCAAAGTAGTCTTTCTCAATGCGACCTCTTGAAGTGGGCGACGCCCATAATTCGACTGGATCGGTGGTCACCTTCAGATATTTGACCCCGTGCGCTAAACCGACTACCAAACAGCCGCCCAAGAACAGAACAACCCACGGTTTTTGTGCACATTTTGTTCCCCATGCTTGGAAAAAGACCTGAAGGTAGGTTTCGGTGTTGGCCCCCAATTTCTCAATGAACGACGAGTTGGTTTCGTATTCTCCTGGCATCTTGCTAATGGAGTGCGTGTCCATTTCGTGATCCCCATCTGATGTTACGCCTATTTCAAATAATATAGGTTAATATGCGATCTGATTACGACAGGAGTGGTTAATGAGTGCGACCGTGATCAATGTTTCGTTCCACCATAACCCACAAATTAATGCTATTAGAACTTATTCCCCCTAGAACTCATGAAAGTTATTCCCATGTTAGTAAAAGTCAAGCTCCGAAAGTGTAGGTGCAGCTAGTTATTTTAAAAAAAATAGAAACAACATACTAGACCGTTTAGACTGAAGAGGGCTGTCCTCACTATCCCCGAGAGCAGTACGAGATGAATTTCTATTATCAGCCAGACGTCTCACTACCTCTTCTGTAGCTTGCCCGCGAACCATACCCACTGCAACCAACCCCACACCACACACAGATCATTCAACTATCTACATTTTACTCTTTGGGTTAGTACGTTTGACTTGACATTGACATGTTTCTCAAACTCCGCCATAGCCAAACCCAAGCAGTTTGAGTAAGAAGCAAAATTAAGGGCCACTTGGTTAACTAACCCCGTTTTTCGATTTCAAAGAGATGAGGTTAAAGCAGATCGCGCTCCTTTAAAGTTTTAATTAATGTAAACTGTATCAAAGTATGTAAGTATTACAAATTATACACACTTTGTGCAGCTAGTATGCCCTTCACAATGTTTTTTAATCAAGATTGGGCTTGAAAAATGTCATTAGTGTTAACAATGTTAAATGAGGTTGAAAAGAATCCGGCAACGGTAAATCAGTCTTTCTTATTGCTGCACAATTTGCAATGTTGCATTTTGTGAATTTTCTTTTGCTTTTGTTAATTTAGTTCGTGTATTTACGCCGGCTATGTCAGGGTTTTTGTCCCAAAGAAGGTTTCCCTAACATCGCCTCATTGTGTGCGTAAGGTATTGTACGTGTTCTGGTCTTTTCTTAAGCACAAATTTGAGTTTTTATTCAATTGCCTTTCCCATTTGTGTATAAAAAGAACCGCCAGTTTTAACACCGACTGCCATCCATATTCGAAAGGGCCGCGAAACTTCCGTCGTTTTGACATGAAAGTAAGAGTGGCTATGCTTGTGAGTGAAGATTGCAGCCGCTTCTCGACTTCTGCTGCTAAGTACTGCGGGCGTTGTTATTACGAAAAAACAATTAAAAGGATTTCCCTTTACATCGAAATAATAATGCCCACCAATAAAAGACAACCTGTTACAAACAGCTACCGAAACATTTTTTTAGTAATTGGCTGCCTACCTACGTACTCTCTTCCATTACTTGCGCGAAACTATGTAAACATACTAGTGATGACGTGTGCGCAAACTATGGTAAATCCTACTATAAACGTAAACACGGAAATAAACCCACTCATTTAAACATTTCTTATTCAAACACGGATAAAGACAGACATATGCTATACCCTCACTGACTTTTTTTGGAAGGAATTTAGTTATCTACCATTTATCTTGTATACATTTTTGCGTATCTATTACCGTTTGAACTGCCTTTTGAAATAAATGCCCACGATTGTGATTTTCCTACGAAAAATGGGATAGACTGAGCCTCACACTCTCACACCTCTATCTATTTTGCAACAATAATCCATCATAATCAATGGTCCAATAGCTTCATTTAAATTGATAAAAAATAAGAGGAGAGAATATAACGATGGTGGCGAAATAACATAGCACGTGACGAAAGTCGCCATCATATTACTTCCTTTGCGCTGGTCAGTTATGTCGACTTGACTCATCATAAAACAGAAGAAACGATGTCAGTTTTGTTTTATTACGCCACTGCCAATGATGACGCGTTTCCCCCCACTTCCTTTTTATCCATTTTCATCTTGTGGCCTTTTAATGTAAGATTCTCTCCTTTTTATTTTTTACTCGTAGCATTAACGTGACACTGTGACAAACATTTACTCAGTATCACTGACACAAATAAAATTTCCAAGACCAGCACTTACGAAAAACACTGTGACTTGAAAAAAATATGAAACAGTAAATCAGCTAATCTTATCATATTTGCAAAAAGTATGCTTCTGCCATTTTTCTAGGAACTGCTTTAATATAGTTTACCCTAAATGCTGCTATTTTTTAAATTTTGTGCCGCAATTTGCTCGTTTGCTTCCAATCTTAGTCAGAAGTACTCAGAAAAAGACTGAGCAAACGTCTGCAATTTCTTCTCAATCGACTTAATTTTGCTTCTTTGTTGTCAATAAAAATGTCATGTCAGTCAGTTTGATTAAGTTTTTTGTGAATTCAGGTGTTAGCTTCCGTACTCAAATTCAAAATAGATTTACCAATTAAACTGTTAATTTCTAAGTTTTGAATACGATTACTCAACCTACACCAATCTGATAATTTTCAAAAGGTGCCAAGAGAATGTATTTACAAGAAAGTGTTTCAATGCGAAGCTAGCGCCCAGAATAACACAGCAAAAGTGACTGCAACTTCAAGTTTGTTTACAAAATAGCCAACACTCCCACTGTGGAATTCTGGACACGATTTGCCCCTTTATGACCATGTTATTCTGCACTTAACCCCATTAAAAAAAAAGTAATATAAGAAGTCCCTGCCGCTTTTAATCATTGCGATAAAGCTGTGTGGTGCGCATTTGATGTTTTAAGTCCGGATAAAAATGCATGTAAGATTGGCGCGATTTAAAACATCTTTGCGCAACAAAATGCAATTCCGCTACACTACTAGCGGAGTAAAATGTCTAGTCCGTCAGCTTCAAAAGATTATATGAAAAAAACTCAACCGATTTGTACACGTGATTTGACAGTCAGCTATTTCTATTATCTTAGTTCAAAAAAGTGTGTATCAAATTAAGTATACGTCCCAATATTTTTATCTATTTTTGGATATTTACACAAAAGTTACAAAGAAAAAATGCAGACGCGTTTACTCGTTTGTAATAAAAGATACTTATAATAAGCAATAAAAAATAGGATCCAGAAATTAGTATATTGTGAGGGAATGAGATAGTAAAAACAGCCCGAGCAAAAATGGAGGTCGATTTCGTCAGATTTCGAGACTTTAATTTTCAAAGTAAGTAGACTAGACATTTTACTTCGAGAGTAAGATACTGTTACACAAAACAGGAATGCGAAACATGTAACTTTATTACACTAAAAGCAATTTGACTGATCTATGTCTTGATTACCGACTAAATTCGTCAAATAATTTTGATACCTTTGCAATCCTGCTCTGTAAAATGTTCTGCCTCATAAGTTCTGCTTAATTCATAACCTGAAAATAAATGCGACAGTGTTTTAATAAACCTCTCTTAGAGCACCCTGCAGGGACGATTAAGTGCGAATGAGCAAATTCCAAAAAAAAAATACAACCAGTGCAAGTGTGTTCAGTCTGTTAGCAATCTGCACACAAATTTACTGTTACGTAGTTATATTTACACAAAAACGAAATTCTCAAGCGGCATAATCGACAAATGCACCCGTCTTACCTATGTTGCGGCGGTCGCAAAATAGCGTTAAAAGGATGAAGAGTACGCTACCGACGGTGAATATTATCGCCATAACAAAGGTGTAACCATCGATGCCGGCTATGCGGAATGGTCCGGGAGGCGGCGGTTGCGGTTTCGGTGCTAGACAGCTCGCCTGGCAATCGACACAACTGCATGCCGATACATTTTCCTGCAATGCATAAATCAAAATACACCAGGCACAAGTGGAATCTTACTCTATGAACAAATTATAGAGCAATACATTTGGTAAACAGACTTGGACTTAGGTTTCTACTTACCCTCTACTTTAAATATGAACCTGTGCTGTTGGTTATCATTGTTTAAAATGTAATATACAGGGTGATTCAAAATTGAGTGCGAGGATTTTAAGCGCGTATTTACCAGCCAAAAATAAAAAATTTTTGTCATATAATCGTATGTCCTAACTTGCTTTGTAAGTTTTTTTTTTTAAATCAGTTTTTACTTATTTTATTCCCTCTAAAGGAAGGCCCTTATGACAAATAAGTCTACCAAATTTTACTTAAATCGGCTGAAAGGTTTTGATAATTGATAAAAAAAACAATTAAAAAAAAAAACTTTTGCACCCTGTGTCTAGAAAACGAAGCAAGTTAGGACATACGATTATATGAAAAAATTTCTTATTTTTGGCTGGTAAATACGCCCTTAAAATCTTTGCACTCACTTTTGAATCACCCAGTATTTGTTTTATTAACCCTTAACTTTTTTATAATTTGTTTATTTTATTACAAAGAACACAGGTACCGTGTGTCCCATTTTGGTTGAGACCGCAGTGTATCTCAGCTGTTAAGCATTTAAAAAATACCAACATTGGGCCAAATCTCATATATATAGTGATCCAAAAATGTTGTTGAACTAAGCCACTGGATTCTACGTAAAAATATATAAAATAAACCGTTTACATGGGTAGTAAGATGTGTATCTCAGAAACAAAGCTAAATTGATTCTATTTGTGATAAGTTTCCCAAAAGAGTGGCACAGGGTCGCGAAAGCCCAAGTCTCTATCATTAAAAACAGCTGAGATACACTATCTTAACCAAAATACCCCCCCCCCCCCCGATTGTTTGGTCGTCTCTTGTAAGCGGCAAAAAATTTTCAAATTTAATTTTGAGTTTCTAGGATATATTTGATATAGAAGTTCTAAGAGCTGAACACATTGCGCGAGAACGCAGCACCAGGAGGCCCAGGGGGTATTCCAAGGCGAGATTTGATATTCCAAAATCAATTGTTACGGTACTTTTCAGGGAAAGACGATCAATTCTCTTTGTGAGTGTGGGGGGGGGGGGGGTGGAATATCGCCCAGACCCCCGTTGCTATGCTTTCCTTCAAAATACGAGTATTTGGGACAATTAGCATGATTATTTTATAGCGAGTGCAATCAAAGTTTCTTTTTCTTGGAGATATTCGATAGCGGGGAGCAAGGCGACATTTGATTACCCTATTCTGAAGTTCTTAGGGGAGGGACATTTTGGGGGAGAAAAGCGCCGGGGGGTCTAGGGGGTATTCCATCTCCCCCCCCCCCCCCACAAGGCGAGGTTTGATGAGCCTATCCCAAAAGCAAGTGTGGTAGATTTCAGAGAGAAGGTAATCGATTTTTTTGTGCTGGAAGTATTGCGGTGGGTATTCCAAAAATTCACAAATTACCTACATTAAATATTTTAAATAAAATATCGAAGTGTTCCTATTGGCTTCAAATTTGCTACACGGTCATTACATTCTATTTTGAACAGTTTTACGAATTTCCTCAAAAAATCCAATTAAAAAATAGAAACATAACAAATCCAAGTAGGCCTAGGAAATTTTGCATGTTTACTCAGTTTTTCATTCTTTATAACATTTGAGCGTATCTCGTCGCCACTGGTATCCAAATTATGTTTTTTGAAAAGTGTAAAGGCACCCTTGATTTTGACAAAACTAAAATTATGTCACAAATTAGTTTTCTATCAAGCAGGGTTGATCTCCAGAAACACAAAATCAGTTCAAAAATTTTGGCTTTTACTCTTAAGAAAGGACCAGACAATCAGGGGATGCACTGTATATATCTTATAACAATTTTCTGAAGAGAAACTTTTTAGGATATCGGAAATTATAAAGAAGTTCCTATCCATCTATGTACATACTTAAAATTTGTGGTCAGTCACGAAGGGCATATTTAATTTGAAACCACTATTTTTTATTACAATTAATGGTGCTATATCCAAAAAAGTGGGTTCACTTTTCAATAATGTGTAACGAAAACTAGCAAATGACATTTAAAAAAAATATGCCCCCTCCCTGACTATGCGAAAGTACGCCACTGACCACAAAAGTACATAGATCTCGACATAGATTGGAAACTGTTTCTTTTAAAAAAATGTTTTGAAGATATATTCAGTGAGACAAAATTTCCACTCTGTATATAAAAAAACCCTTTCCTCTTTGGCATCATTTCTTTCCACGAGCGCCTCGTCCTCCCTTTACTCGATACTTGGAGCAGTATTTTGACAATTGTCTCTGCTACTAAATTGCTGAAAATTCTTACTCTTCAACAACTACACGCCAAATGTGCATTAAAAAAAAACTTTATAGAACAGCTCGTAGAATAGAATCAGATATCAGAATCTATTCATTCCCAAACTTATTTTCAATGAAACATTTTTCGCCCCCGCGAAGGGGTGGCATCATTCCCAACCTAAAAGCAACCCCTGGTACAGTCAACTTTGAAGAACGTGGTAAGTAGAACCCAAATCCAAAATTTTATGATTTTTTCCATTTTTACAGAAACGGTTCGAGTTCCAATTTCTCTCTTTACGTTAAAGTGGTAAGTAATCATAAAACTGCAGCATATAATTCGTGGCCACAAAGGCTTAATCTTGAGGTTGATAACATTGTTAAAGGTTCTAAAGTCTATAAAACAAAAGTAATCATTAAACAACATGTTAGCTGAAAGCTGTAATTATTTTAACGACTTCATAATCCAAGGAAATTTCTTACCATCATCATTACATAATAAATTAGGAATAACAATCCTATTTTTGATGTTACGTTTGTTACAATTGTATTTGTTTTTATATTTCAGACAATATATGTGGGAAGGAGCAAAATCCATTCTACTAACCTTGTATTTCACACTTTAAACCTGATACTTAATTTAATTTAGTTATTGTCGTGTTAACATCAAATAGATATATGCACGTGGATTCTTCTCGTAAACAAAAAAATCAAGGCCAAGAAAAATTGTGGTTCAACTTGATCAACAAACATTTTTTAAAATAAATCTCATTGTGTATGTAGTGAAAATGATTACGCATTTCTAGACTATTCGTTTTAGTAAAAATTCCGTGTGCGCGCAATGATAAACTTTCCCCTTTACTGCCCTCCAAAGTTTTCGGGTTAGCGCCTATAATATATGAAATAGATGAAACCGTGTGCTCGTTTGAGTACCATGATTTGAAAAAAGCTTTCAGTTTTACTGTTAGAGTAATCCATAAAAAAACCGTCTTCTCCGTGTTGTGACAGCCTTCCCGCTTGCAAATATCTGCTTAGATACTCACTAGAGGTGGGGATATTATTTTGGAAAAGTTGTGTCACCCGAAGGTTCAAAGACAATTTAATAACAATCGCGCGGGGAAAAAAAAGAAAATGTCAGTTTTGGTTACCACTTAAAACTGCACATAGCAGCATTTTTACTGTACATCTGTGAGAATAACAAGCGGAATTTTCCCTTGCAAAAACGAGTAAAAATTCGAGAAAAGAAAAATAAAAAATTCCAGAAATTTCCAAAAAATTATACATCCATCTAGAAAAATGCGAATACCGGGACAAAAATTCGTACAATAGAATTGACAATTCATTGGAAAATCCAAAATAAAAAAAAAATTTAAAAAACACAAAAAATCAGATGGACATTTTATTTAATTAGACGTTCATAAAATCCACATATCTCTTACTTTTGTTTTCTTGTATGAGATCAATAAACGTAAATAAATAAAATAAAGTTCATAAAATCTAAAATTGATAGAAAATAATTTATTTTAAAAACCTTGCGGTAAATTAAAAAATTCCAGAAAGCGTATGCAAAATTTAAAGTTGTTTTCTTGGAGGTAGAAACAAACTAAAATTATAACATCACCAAATTGTTTAATTAAATAGTTGGATAAATTAATAAATAAGTTTTGAAATTCAAACAAATCATAAAGTGAAAAAGACAATATATGTATAATCCAAAAAACTTTAATTTGCGAAAAGATGAGAAATGAAACTCTACACAAATCGAAATATCAAAAAATTAAGAAATGGTACACAAACATTCTTTGCGGGAGGCACAAATATGAAATAAAATGTACTTAATTCTTGTGCATATTTTATTTTATATTTGAACCTATTTCGCAGAAAAACAAACACTGAATTTAATTTTTTTATATTACATTTTTCTGAATATTCAATTTTCATCTTTCATTGGTGCATATTTTTTAAATTTTCTGAATTTCTCAATTCAGTTGTTTCCCAAATCCAGCAAAACCATTTCAAATTAGGTATGGAATACCTCCCAGTGTACGAAGGTTTTTATGTCAGTTGTAGGTAAATGAAGAAATATCCCCCACACCCCCCGGTTCTACATTCTTTCCCAAAATGTCTAGCACCCTTAGCCTTTACATGGAAATTTGTCAAAAGCGTCTTTAGGGCTGAACATTTTTAGGGTGAACGTATCACCGGAAAGTCTGGGGGTCCAGTTGTATAAAGGTTTTTGTCAGTTGTAGGTAACTGAAGATTGACTACATACTTCTATTGGATGGGGTGATCAAATCTCACCTTGCGAGAGGGAGGGGGGGGGGCCAAAACACCCCGGTTTTACATTTATTCCAACCAAATTTTTCGAAAGAATCTTTAAGGCAGAACGTTTCGAGGGTAAACGTATCACACATTCCATACTTTTCGTGTAATAATTTGATTTTCAATAGATAACATATATAAATTTAAAGCTGAATTAAAGAAAATATTATTAAGTCGCGCATATTACTCTGTAGATGAATATTTAAGTAACTGAATGTAAGTACGCTGGACTGCAGGACTTGTCTTATACTATGCGATCAAAAATGAGTTGCTGTTGAGTCACCTTTGGAATTTTTGTTTACATGGGAATTCGTATTTAACTTGAACTTCCAAAGGCGACTCGACAGCAACTCATTTTTGATCGCCCGTTATCATAATACGATCGCTTAGACAAAATACATATTATTATTATTATTATTATTAGTTAGAAAAATGCGGATGGCAATCTCTAAATTGGGGTTAATTGGGTGTATTTACGAATGAGTTTCAATAAATCCAGGGGAGTATAATATTCAATGGATGAAAGGGGCACACAGCCGCGTGGATGCCTGGTTGATAATTCGGGTGACGCTGACGGGTGTGGCAATTATTACAATAGCTGAGCTACAGAAACTCATCTCGGAATGTAAGAATTAATGTTGCGGAAATTATTATTTTTTTGTTTTATGGAAGTTTAGCCGGCCACTTCGGCGCCTTTTCTTGCTACTTGCAACCAGCTTGCGTCACCACTGTTTGGTTCCCTTTACACTAACCCTTTCTTTGAATTTGTGAGACATGGTACCCATTACATTAACCCCATCTTACAGACATGCCTACTGGGTTATATGCTTTGTTGTCACTGCTAAACAGAGAGTATAATCATCTTGGTTCAAAAAGCAACTGAGCACTATTTGTGTTTATTTGGTTGCAAATATGTGTGCGCTAATAGCCCATAAATTCTGCTGCAGTTTGATGACACTTACACAGGCGTAATCTCTATCATTATTCTAGTCCCGTTCTCATTATAAATTATACCACGCTTAAACTGAATTACAAGTACTCTTTCCTTGGCCTAATTAGTTAAACTTTCTCCTTCGCACATTGCATAAGAAAAAAAAACATGCACTCACATTAATGGCCTTATCGCACGGTACAGTCGGGGCATCCATCGGTATGAAGCGACCGATTGGTTTTGTGGTATTAATGTACTTGATTTTGAAGGGCACGTAGGGGCTGCTCTCGGCGTCGCCCATAAATTCGAACCATCGCATCGGATTGCAATTCGCCGAACCCCAAGCGCCGCACATGATGTCGAGCGCCTTTTGACCGGTACTCGGCAAACCGATACCTTTGCACGAGTTGTAGGTGCCCCAGATGTAATCGTTAGCAATGTAGAACTCTAGCGCGTTTATGTATTGGACACCTGCAACAAACCAATGAAGTTTGAGTTACATTTGAATTAAACTATACCTTTATCATTGGTCTGAATATCCGTGACGTTCAGATACCGAGAGTGCTCCGTCGAGCAGGTCATCTGGCAGATGTGCTGCACAAAGTTGTGCATGCACGACGGGCATCTCTTGAAGAAATTCTCCGCAATTTTGACGCTATTGTCCAACGTTTGCAGTTGCTTAGTGTCGCAACACGTCTTGACGCCGTCGCCGTTGTTGGTCAGCAGATGCGGGCATCGCCTCGACAAAACTTCCAGCCCGTCCCGATCGTCTAACGTCTTCGCCGGACCTTCGTATGGACAATTTTGCAACACCTGCCCTTTCCTGTTGCATTGCCCGTACCAGATGCAGTGGTAGTTTCCTTCCGATCTGCTCGTCGATGCATTGCTCTCCGCCGTGAGGACCTGCAACAAGGCGTTGGTCGTGAAATAAAAATTACGTAACTATTTGGCGAGGTTGTTTGAAATGGAAATTAAACGCGTGCTGCGAATAATGAGGGTGTCTTATTTGACCCACGTCTTTTGAAATACGTAAATTGCGCTTTATTAGACCTTTAAGGATATTCACCTATGTTGAACTAGGAACTGAAATCCGTCGTTTAGCTTTTTGTTTTCCAAATTGTGAATAGAAAAAATATAGTTTGTGTAATACTGAGGGTATGCGTTTACAAAGTGTACGATGATTCCGAATAAGTGCAATATTTGCAAAAAATGACGATAATCTGCTTATAGTTAAATGTTTCTAACACTGATAGCCTCCATTTTGTAGAGAAATTAATTGTCTTTAAATTTGATGTGGGAACCTGTATCATATCCTACAATCCATATTTTTTTATGTTAAAAATTGAATTTTTGCCATGAAGTTTACAATGCATTTCTTATGGCAATAATTTCATAGCTTGCTTAAAATTATTCAACATTTTGAAAATGAAAAAACACATCACCCCGTATAAGAAATGTTTCACTTAATTTTAAGAATTTTTTTACAATCATCGATTTTGGTTTCATCCTGTTACGAAACCCGCGTCCACGGATAATGGGAGCTTAATTCTGGGACAAAATCGAATAGAAAATCCTATTACACTTTTGCGATCAGCTAAATACTTTTCAAGATACGAGGTTGCGATGGCTGTTTCATGTTCGTCAAAGTCGCCTAATTTAATAAGCGTGTAACGATATTTTCTTACCGGTGGATATTCCTGATTTAAAATACCATTTAAGCAACTTTTTGATTCTTACTCTCGTTCTTATTCGATTCATTTTTTTGCTTAGTTCTTTGTTTTGCCGTTAGAGGTCATCCAAGCGTTATACATTTATTATTACAACAGTTCTTGGTTTTGCCGTCCGAGTTCGTGCCTTGTGTCTTTTTAATTCTTTTGGACGCACGCACTTCTTTGTAACCACATTGAATCATTACTTGCACAAGCCATATTGGTTACGCGACATTTTTGTTTACCCGTTGGGATTTATGTGACTGTATAAGTTATCCGTTATTTTGTTTTTGACACTTCGCTGACGCTGTTTGCGGGTATATTTCACCAGTTCTATGACCGTTTTCGGTATGTACAAAAAATTACGCATTACCTTTTGAACAATGATTCTTACTTCTGGCTTATTCTTTTCGTCATTATTACCTACCTGATTGTTGCTTTCTACATCAATATTCCTGAGTAGAAACCCCAGAATTATGGATTTTCTCAATATTGCTCAAGGAAAATTCAATTTTGCTTTTGGTTAGTTAACGTAAATTGAATTATTGATTCTTATTGAGTATTAATTGCGGTTTTTGTATACGAGTGTCAAGTGTCAGAATTGATTTCGCAATATTTTATGTACCTCTGTTATTGATTTGTTTGTGTTGTTACAGAAAGCGCAGAGTCTGATCGGAAAAGTTTAATAGATTTTCTTCTATTTCGTTTTGCCACAGAATTAATCCCCCATTATCCGTCGACGCGAATTTCGACACGCTTTGTATACATAGATACAGTCTCGAATACAGCCTTCCATTTACTTTCAAAAAATCTGTACTAACATACCTAAAGCAGACAGAGATATATTTTGCACCGTAAATAGAACATCACATATACCATGAATTTAAAATGTGTCCAGTGTGACTATGCAACGAATGATAAATATATGTAAATTAAGATTTAAAGTGTGTCTAGTGCGCTTTAGTCACCAAATATGAATCCAAACTTAAAGCACATCTAACATTTCTCAAGACATGGTCCCTACCGCGGATTTAAAATGTGACCGGTGTGATTTTTTGACCAAGTAGGAATGCAATTTTAAAACACAGTTGTTAATGCACAAGACCAGTAAGAATTTTAAATGCGCCTGTTGTACACCATGTTTTAAGGAAATAACACGCCTCACGCCAGTGAAATGCCTGGAACGTCAACTCAGTGCCCATGATCGATATTCTCCTGTTGGCTATCTTTTTTTACATATGTTGGCGCAAATTTAGTGGCTGTATAGTCTATATCTATGGAATATACAGCATGTCTAAGACGAGGTCTAAGATAAGGATGTCTATCATAGGAATCTCGAAAACCATAGATGTGCGAAGATGTATGATGGAGTCACACAACACACAACGGAGACAGCACAACAAAAACAAAAGTTGGAAATTTTCCACTGGCAGAAAATTTTCCGGATAGGTCTTCTCGCACGATTCTGACGTTGTGCGCGGGTGCACCACCCTGTTGAAACCAACAATTTCCAACTTTTTATTAATTGTGTGCGGTATATCGTATTCGTAATAAAAATGCTACTCAATACAGTATGCCCTTTATTTACGGATCATATTTTTTTATAAGTTTCAGTTTTACTAACATATCTTCGAAAGTAATCGGAATTTTCTGGTTCTCTTTAAGGTATGATAATAACTTTTTAATTGCGCATCTTTTCTCGAATCTGATCATCGTCGTATCTTCTAACGTTTCGGAGATCCCCATCCTTATCTTGGGCACAGTGTATATTTATCTTTCGCTCTCTGAATTCGGGATGTTTTTCCACGTTTAACCGTGTTATTTATGGGTTCGTATAACAAAATTACCTAGAAAAATGTTAGGAGATAAAAAACGATTAGCTTTAACCTCTGCTAATATAAGGAAGTTTTCCATACCTTTGCCTAACTCTGTGTGAGCAAACTTGACAATACTCAGAAATGTTGACCGTTTTCTTCCCACAAGATTCGCGGAAAGTACATATCAAATATTACAAAGTAAATATTAACTTGCTTACCCTATAAAAATTAAAATGTCATATAAATAAGAAGAAAATGTGGGTATGTGACGAAACTTCTATCTACTAAAACCTTAAAAAATCTGATACAACTGATTACCAAAGCTGTCGGGCTGTAACTTTTTGACCCCATAGTCTACGTAGTTGAAAAACAAGTTAAAAAGTAATCGTAAACGATTTACAAATAGCGCATTTCCACTAGCATTCATTTCCCATTTGTAAGATGCAACTTCTGTTAAAATCGTAAAAATCCGGCCACAAATATGAAAGATAGCGTTTGCACATGTGAAAACCATTTTATAAGATGAATTTCATTTCAATGCTTTTCTAAATAAAAAAGTTGACACTGCGCATGCGCAAAACCAAATTTTGAAACCGGCGTTAGATTTTCCTTTATTCCAAGTGCCTATGTATCAAATTTCATTTAAATACTTTTATAAATAAAAAAGTTTGCAATTCGGTTTATAAATGGTCGAGATGCGAAAAGGGCACTGTGAATTTTGAATCGATTCGACTCAACTTTGGGCATTGCGTATTATATGGCTAAAGCTATGCCCATATTGAATTTCATGCAATTCAGTTCATAACTAACGGAGATGTAAAAGCGATCGGACATTTCTAAACAAAGTTATAGTTCACACGGACAAACAGACAAAGGAACAGACGGACAGACCAACAGACAGCAATACAAAATTATAAACGATCTCTAGGATCGTTAATAAACGGCAAAAGTGTAAAATTATGGAACATGTAAAAAACCGTTTTTTGGTTTTTTTACAATAACTTTTTTAGCAATTAACACAGAAAAAATTCCTTCCTTGGTGCAAGCCTCGACACCATAACGAACCAAATAGCGAAAAAAGTAGAACAATAGCTCTTAAGATAAAGAACTAGTAGCGTCTCAACGAACGAGCGGACGGACGGACAAAGTGGCCACAATAGTGCATTATTTTTTATTTTTGTAGAAATGAAAAGCGGTCTTTCTTACATCCTTAAAGATATGTGTACCAATTTTCAAAGCGATCGGAGGTTTCTAAACAAAATTATTGTGCACAGGGACAGACAGACACATTGTTCCTCACCTTTAACACACATTTTTGGATTTTGCAAACACCTAATCTAATTGTTGACATGTCTTGTATCTCGAATCTAGAAAACTGAATGTAACGTCGAGCAAATTCAGAAAATACTAATAGGGTGTACAAAATTTTGGTGACTGGCCACCCCTCGGTTCGCAGTTTTAAACTATTTTTAGGAACTTTTATATCTCATAAAGTTATTTTGGACTACTTTGATTAAATATGGCGGCTCAACTCTCGAGAGCATTGTGATCCTATTTACAGACGGTGACATCCACGGATATCGCATAACTCGGGAGAGATTAAATCAAAAGAATTTCGTAATATCTTAGTGTAATTCTATTCTTTACACTATGGTAATATACATATATTCGAATTTTTAGCAGAATGACGAGGCGTGCGAGCATAAAACTCCCATTAATTGAAATTTCAAGGCCAACATAGATGAATTAGTTATGATAGCATCCATAAAATATGTATGTCGCAGCCGTTTAATGAAATTGGACATTTCATGAAAAGTCTAGTCATTTATATGAAACTGTGGAACAGTTTACTTTCCAAGACCAAGCGATTGGATTCCCTTCCCATTAGAGATCGATAAATGGTATCCTTATCGATCTAGAAGGGGAAGGGAAATTACCCCACACGTACAAATTTTCAGCGTTTCACTAAATGACTAGGCCTCGGACTAGACTTTTCATGAAATGTCCAATTTCATTAAACGGCTGCGACATGTATAAAACGGATCAATCAGGCGCGTATATTGCATTAATATCGACCTCGGAAATTACACGCGCGCGAAAATCAAATCCAAAGGGAAAAAAATATAGCAAAATAAAACCGCGAAGCGATAACAGTATCGTATAAACTTTTTCTAAAAATTTGTTCGAGTCGAGCGGTTCAAATCAATCACCGCACAGTAATCACTCCTGGAAATGGAATAATAATTAGGAATGTAGGGATAATTAGTAAATAAGGTAGACAGTTTGTAGACCGTACTCACTGTTTGACCCGCCATTTAAAAGGTTAATTGCTCGCAATCGCCAGAAGCATCTTTAATTATGGGAATGTAGTGAACGA